GTACAACACACATTATATAATAACGAACAAGTTCGCGAACATGTTCGGTTCAAGTGCGACATCTAGTTTTCTAACGCTAGGAGCGTTGCCGATATTTCCCGCGCAAGTGATTACAACAGCCATCGTTTCAAATGTGATGCTCTCAATTCCGGTAATTATATCTTAGTAGTATAAACAACATTTCGCCCGCGACTCCGCCCCCATGGCATTGAAACAACAAAATTGAGTGGCCTATGTGTTCTTCCAAACTACCCTTTACGTCTATGCCAAATTTCATCGAGATCCGTTCAGCCGTTTAGGCTACAAACAAACATTCGCATTTATAATATAAGTAATATGTAAAAGTTTGGACTGATGAATGTTTGTTAGAAACTACCTCCAGAACGACTCAACGGATCTCGATGAAATTTGACAAAGTAGAATATTGTCTGGATGAACACATAGGCTACTTGCTTTTTTTCTATTACCGCGCAGACGCAGTCGCGGGAACAGCTAGTATTTTAAACGGTTGTAACTCATAATCACACTTATGTGGTATCATAAATAGTCATAAAATTATGAGACGAATAAACTATCTGAAAGATTTGATAACCAGATAGAATCAGAGATCTTTCCATTTTGGCACAAACATTTCTTTAATCATTCGTGATTTTCCAGAACCAAATCTTTGTTACTGTATGCTCTCTCTTTGAAAGCTGTTCCTATTTTTTTTTTCACTTTTTTCACCAGAATCCGCCAAAATGGCGAAGCGACCGCTGCCCATAGACATCCGCGATCGCAGATGCGTTGCCTACCTTTATTCGACGGAGGAGTAGACGCACATAAAGAGGATATTGCCCCTCCCTATGCATCTCCTCCACCGTCAAATCCACTTCCCCTTTCCATCCTCTCCTAAGAAAAGGGTGGTAAGAGAAAAGGACTTAAATTAGGCCTCCGGCACCACACTCATCAGACGAAACACGGAATTGCTTCCATTTCACGCCTGTCTTCTGTGTGGTCGTGGTGTTACACCGGGCGTGCCGGCCCATTCGTGCTAAGATGTTAAAGCGGGCACTACCACTGTCACACTGTCCTAATGGAAACTGTGATTGTGTTTCAATCGTGTCATCATTAATTGATATTGTAATGCATTGATGTTTTACAACATTTATCAAAAAATAAATTAACGTATTTTTAATGTCGGACACGTATACGCTCACGGGCATACGGTCATTAAGGTTATTTTTTGTAGAAACTTGATCGTACTGATCATCTACATTACCCAGCAATTGCAAACATTTAAGGCAACCTACAAACCGTTATTTACATATAGATATTTTTCTAAAACTCTCTATTGAAAGTCCTTTTACGGTGTCCAATTTTACTAAGCGTGCCTATTTAAAAAAAGGCGGGAAAACGTGATTTTCGCGCGTGCAAAGCAACTTGTCAAAAAGTTTGCAATAAAATTAATATCTCTTTAATTGAGCATTGGCCTTTTCACCTTAATTTCATAAGTCAATATATCCCATCACAAAATATCAACAACCTCTCGAAGATTCTCGGTTGTCGAACGGAATGCGATGCCGTCGTTGCGATGCATCAGAAACAACTTTTTGCCGCGCAATTATGTCGGGGGGCTCGACTGCTTCTGTGAAATCAGAAACATGTTTTATCGTAAAATTTCTGAACGACTACGTAATTACTCTTTACAATACGTCAGGCGATGTTTTTTTTTTTAATTTCTTGTCGAAAATTAAAAAAACGTACTGCCTGACAGTTATAATTAAAAACAGTAATATGCGTTGAATTTTTATCGTAATTAAAGGTTAATCGATAAATATGCCTTTAAATATGTTAATACATGTCAAGGATTATACAATGTGTATCAAGGTCTTCAATATTTGCACAATTTACGTTAAAAAAATTGTTTTAGAGTCGTAAAAGTTTAATAAAACGTGCAATGCAAAAAGGTTTTTACACAAGCTTTGCGTTTCAATATATGCATTGATATATTTTACGTCCTATTTATTGACGGACGTGGTAATAAAATCTATTTAGAATTGGTCTGATATTTTGTTAAGTTATATTATTTTGTGGCATATGTGAATATTTATACATTCATTTATTTAATATAGTGTTGTTCCGACTCGACAAGTAAAATGAATTTATTTTCGGCAAATGTCTTGTCTGTTCAAGTGATAAGATTATCTTTTCAATTTTATCTTGATATCGGACCTATTCAGTGCAAATAATATCTATGATGAAATATCGAAAGACAGAAAATATAAATACCTAAGCTGTCATCCAATTTTACATGTTTTAGAATGCTTTTAAAAGCACCATTTTAAGGAAACCTACTTTCTCCATCTACCTAAAATATTCACGAACTAATAGCTATAATCTAGGTTGTATAATAATATCATGTTATTTATAAAAAGTCTAGATTTATAGCATTAAACGCACATCCGGCTTTCTCGTCCGTTTGTCAAGCCATAAATAAGAAAGATCGAACGGGCAACATTTGCACTAACGGTAAATAATGGCTGCGCATAGACAACTAGATCCATCCTCGATGAGGCATTATGATTCGACGCGGGAAGTCTTAAAATCCCCGAAGACAAACGGAATGCAAGTCAATAAATTAATAACCTTAAAATGTAAAACGATGGCTCAAAGATCTATTTTAGCATGAAAAACATTGTTAAAAGATTTTTAGCATTTAGAATTCTTACGATTTTGTACTTAATCTCAAAAAATATTATATTATTTTCGATTTGTGTGTGTTAATTGTCGTTTAACCTTCAAAGATTAAAAATAATGGCAATTACTTCTTTCTTTATCTTAATTCCTTGCTCGTTTAAAAAGCTATTATCTCTTTTCCTTGCTTCCGTATAGATATACATATGTATATACGGATTTGTCGGTATTAGGTAAAAAGTAAATGCGCCTGTCTCAAAAAGATACTCGTAAATTTTGATTAAAACATGCATTTATTTACCCTTAGCTTTGGTTTCCACTGGCAATACGTATACTTAAACACGTTTTCCCACTAATTAAAAAAACAACAGAAGACAATTCGTATTCCGGTCGTGGAAAATCACAAAGTCGATTAGCTTAATATTCTCCTGAGAGTTATTGAAATATTATTCTGAATAATTACGGCGTCAAAACATAAAATTAACAATGGCTTGTGTATGTAAAAGTATCATTGTGACATATACGTAGACATTTGTTCATATTAAAAAAAAACAAGTGAACCATTAAAACAAAGATGTTTCCATTATCATCCATAACAAGGCAAAGGCAAACTGGCAGGTCCCACCAGCGGTCATATCTGGATCATAATAATAAAATATATAAACTACATTGTTATAGATTAATCGTAATACGAGCTATAACAATAAAGCTGTTGTCGATAATGAGCAATAAACTTTACTTGCACCGCCCTCAATAAAACATTCGTTTATTGATATAAATAAATTCTAATTTTATAGCCAATCCAAACATGATCGCCAAAAATCCCTTATAATTTATTTTACAAGTTTTCGGCAAAGAATACTTGTGGTAACGTACCAAAGCAAGTTCAATGTTATTTACTTTCAATACAGAATAGTAAAAGCACACAAAAACAATTTCTTAAAACCGTTTAGGTGGTCTTTTGTTATTTTAATAACCAAGTGTTTTGTTCATTATTCAAATGAAGCGCTGCTGTGCTGGCCAGTGGTTCGTTATTTTTCAACTGTCAAAGTCAAGGACAAAATAATTACCATATTGCGTGACAACAATTTCCAATGCACAAAAAATTAAATTCTCGAATTCAATCCGCTGCTTTCGGGGAATGGGACATAACATGTCATTAGTTTTATTTTTGCTTAACATGAAAACACTGTTAAAATCTAAAATTATCTATTTGTAGCACAGGACAGGATACACAAAACATTTATTCACTAGGGGTATCAGAAATACAGGATTTCTGTTTGGCGCCACTCTGGCACACCTCACACTTCTACACCTAAGCAAGTTCATGGTCACGAATAATCCCTAAATAGCCTTTCCTTATGAATATGAAATAAAACACTAATTACTATGTTCTCTATTTGGTCCTTAGAGAACAATGTTTCTTCTCACAACTTTTGATGCCTGCTATTTAATTTTTACAGGCGTTAAATTAATTTTTGTCTAATTCTTGTTTTCGTCCCTAATCAAACTAAATTAGTACTTTCATCGGAATCTGATTAAGAAAAACCGACGTAATAAAAAAATTAACCCAAAGGCTGTTAACACTTTATTAACATTTTTCTTTATGGCAAAAATATTGACTCATGACGTTTGTTATCGCTACGTCAAGTTGACGTTTGACGTCACTATCAGTTGGCGAAAGTCAGCTGCGTAATGTTTTCGCAAACAAAGCAAAAGTTGTTTTTATTTATATAATAATGTGTAGTATTTTTGTATAAACTTTTTACACTTTTAAAATGCGTGTTAACTTATTTGGTTGCCTCCGTAAGCGTCGTAACCCTGAAACTGAACCATTACTTGGTGAGGCTGGTCCTAGCAGAATCCAAAATGAGGTAAACATCCGTGAAAGTCTTTTATTTAGCTAAGTCCACATCGTTTTACTTTGTAATTAATATAAAATGAATTAGAAATACCCATAAATATAGTAAAATGAAAGCATAGATTTTCAAACAAAACATAAATCTACAAAATCTGAAAATATCAGGCTGAGGATACCTGTGTATCTAACGAGCCTTTTTATATGATAATGGTATTGATAAGTTACATAGTAATAAGTGTATGCTCCATTCAATATTGGGAATTTATTCCAATATCTGTAGGTACGTTCCAAATTTACCAAACATTACCACACTACACTGGCCAAATATGCAAAGGGAGAACCATAAACACTAACTTGATTGATTGGTATAAGATTTTGTTTTCTTTGGTAATTGGCAATATTAGTCACTAACATTTTCGATCTTCTATTTTAATGATTATTAATAAATATTTCTTTATTCCAGCAGACGCAAGCAAACAACGGCATGGCTGAGATCGGCGTGTCGCAAGCGGCGCTGGTGGAGCCACGCGGAGAGGGGGGCCGTAAGCTGCCGCAGTATATTGCAGCTTTGACGGGTAATTATCATGACACAGTATTACACATTAGATAGAAATGCATTGGTTGTCCAGTAATGTCATTAAAAGATTTACTTAGGGATTTAGTTCTTTGCATCAACATACCTGGTTATGTGGCTCATTGTTATTATAATTCTGAACATATGGCTTCTTTCTATTTCTCATTTTACACATTGCATTGTTTAGTTTTTTAATCAAAAGACTGGTGAATACATATTATTGATAAGAACCCGGAAATGGTTACATGCTCTATTATGCAATAGTAATAGTATGATTAATTACAATAATGGCAGTTGCTGTACAACTGTGTATAATGACCTATAAATCAATTTTATTATTTTCCTTTTCAGCCACTCTGGGCGCGTTGGCTGCCGGGTCTATGCTTGGTTGGTCCTCTCCAGTTATATTCAAAATCACGCAAGCCAACAGCACCGATTATAATTTCGAAGTCTCCCAATCGCAAGGTGACTGGGTCTCCTCGCTTATCAACCTCGGCGCTGCAGCCGTCTGCTTCCCCATCGGTCTCATCATGGACGCGTTGGGACGGAAGAAGACCATGTTGTGTCTGGTCGCGCCCTTCACGTTGGGCTGGCTTCTCATCACCTTCGCGACTAACGTCGGGATGCTCATGGCCGGGAGGATCGTCACCGGTATTGCAGGAGGAGCCTTCTGTGTCACCGCCCCCGCCTACACTAGTGAGATAGCGCAGGACTCCATTCGCGGAACCCTCGGCAGCTACTTCCAGCTGATGATAACAGTCGGTATTCTCTTCTCCTACGTCGTAGGTAGCTACACCAGTGTATTCGTCTTTAACATTCTTTGTACCATAATTCCTATTATATTTGGTATCGTTTTCTTCTTCATGCCGGAAAGTCCCAACTTCTTAGTTGTAAAGGGCAGGAACGATGAAGCGAAAGACGCTCTAATCAGGCTCCGAGGTAGGAATTACGACGTCGACACTGAATTGAATACCCTGATCAATAAAGCCGAAGAGGCGAAAAATAATCCCGTATCGTTTCTGTCCGCTATCACAAAGAAGACTGCGCTTAAAGCCATTCTTATCTGCTACGCTCTGATGTTGTTCCAGCAGCTCTCTGGTATTAATGCTGTAATCTTTAATACGTCCGCCATCTTTGCGAGCGCCGGTGCTGCCATCCCGAGCGCAATTGCCACTATCATTATCGGCGTTATCCAAGTGGTCGCTACCTTTGTTTCCAGTCTGGTTGTCGATAAACTAGGCAGAAGAGTTCTCCTCCTGTTCTCTGCTCTAGTCATGTGCGTCTGCTCTACCGCTCTCGGTGTATTCTTCTTCATGCAAGGCGTCCACGGTGCGGAATCCTCGGTAGTACAGGCCATGTCGTGGCTGCCGTTACTCTCACTTTCCCTGTTTATTATTGCCTTCTCCCTGGGTTTCGGTCCCATCCCCTGGATGATGGCGGGCGAGCTCTGCTTGATCGATATTAAAGCTTTTGTCGGCTCCACCGCAGGAACTCTCAACTGGTTGCTCAGTTTTACAGTCACCAGTACTTTTAACTCACTGAACAAATCTATCGGACAGGGACAAGTTTTCTGGATGTTCGCTGGCATTATGCTGGTAGGCTTTCTATTTATTTTCTTCATCATACCGGAGACGAAAGGAAAGAGCTTTGACGAGATCCAGGTAATGTTAGGTGCGGAACCCCAGACGCAGAGCAATACTACCACAAAAAAATAAACCAATCAAAGAGACTGAATCGAAGAGTATTTTTATAAAAAGACTTACTAGATGTTAGTCTATGATTGGCTAATTGTTTCTTTGGTGTCACAATTGTGCTATGAAAAGCAATATTTTTGTCTATGTGTTACCAAAGATTTGTCCTCCGTCTGGATTTTGCATTCCACTGTCGACACTTAGATTAAGGAAATGGTATGTTATTTTTTAGTGTAATTCGTAATTGTAGCAAATATTTTAAGGCAGCTGATTTGATATCGATTTTTAATATCGATTTGTACGGTATATCGTTTTGTATGACCTTCAGAATTTGTATGTCGTTCTGACACTTGAGGAATTCGTGTTTTGAATAGTGTTTTATCTGAGATTGTAATTAATAAAATCATATCAGAAAAAATGAAATTAATGTATATACGAGTAAAATGAATCCTTTTCTTTATACTTACTTATTTTAATATTAACGAATTTATTTACAGAAATTGCCATAAATGTTAGAATAATAACGATATTGTATATTTGTATTAAATCAATTAAAATTATTTTTAATATAATTTAATGCCGAGTTATTTATTTTTTTTAAATAAAGACATTTTGTGATTTTAAATTATTTGACGTGAAACAATGGCGCGAAAATATTCTTGTTTCAAGGTTTTTAGTATTACTTTAATTAGGTGCATAATAATGATGCTTTTAAATATTTCCAAACAATAAAAAATGTAGAATTAGGTTGTTTATACACTGAAGTTGGATTATAAGTATTTTGAAACGTAGTCGAAAATCTAACATTTAAAGCAACATAATGTTACTGTTAAACCTTGGTGTGTATGCATCCTTACAATACAATGAGAATTAAAATATTGTGGTCATGTATACTGATTTAAGTCTAAGTAAATGTTTTCGGTGAAAGTAATTTCAAAATTTAGGGCTTGCTGGCTTTATATTTCACAGTTTGAGAAGCTCTTAAAGCAGTTTAAAATCGCTGATTTTAGAAAACAAAAACGCGTTAAAATCTGTACAAAATTAATTAACGTTATGTGCTAAGAGCAATACAACTTTCTATAAATATGTTTAGAAACATAATTTAACAAAGTGCAACTAACGGGACCTTGCGCAAGCCACATTATTTTTTTATTATGATTTATAGGAGATGTTTATTATAGAAAAGCAAATGTGAATATTGTTATTGTTTGTAGTGTGTATATTTTAATAAATGTATAAAAATTTATAACTAGTTATTTCATTTTTTTACATCTTTAATTTTAATTTCGTTCAACAGTTTGACAACGCTGAAGCATGTGTGAAGTAGTTAATGACTGCAGTCGAATAGCGGATTCGAATCTACGATCTCAAGGTTGGTAGTCCCCAAGACGACATCCTGCGCAATAGTCTAATCGGAATAGAATAGAAACCTAATTGGCGGGGTCGTAAGGTTATAGCGCAAGTAAAAAGTTACTGATATTTATAAATTAATTTGTAATAAGTCAATAGTATGTAATGAACCAAACGCACAACTAGTCTATACTAAGGAGGAAGGATTTGTATTTTTGGATTTTTGTATGTATTGAAATAACTCGAAAACTGCTGGCCCGATTGCAAAAATTCTTTTACCATTAAAAAGCTACGTTATCGCTGAGTGACATAGGCTATATTTTTGATTTTCATGTAGACGAAGTCGCGAGCAAATGCTACTATAAAACGACTTGCAAATGCATTATTATCAGAATGCAATATGCAATTATACAAATGTAAACACGGAAGATTGTTGCTGTCATCTGTATCAGGTACGAAATGATATGAACAATATTTACTAGCGGTGGCATCGCAAAATACAAACAAAACCCGTGACTCATTTAGGCAGTAGTATCAAATTTCAATTAGGCACTAAACCTTTTAATCAAATCTGACTAGATATTGTGGGTTTCAGGAAAAAGCTTACCCACATGTCAATAACTAATAAGATCGCAATTTTTTTATACCAAGGCGCAAAAATTTATGGTCAACGTAGTCATCCTTAAAATGATGTGGGTATGTAGCAAAAGAATGATTAAAGGCCTGTCCCATCAAATTGCTATTTGTCCGATAACAATCCAACGTGTAAAATATGTGATGAAAGTATCGGATTTTGTTACCTTATCTGACAGTGACGTCATTTTTACACTATGTGAGCCTCTATCAGCTAGTGGTGGGACAGTCCCTAAATCTCCTTAGTCATCGACTAAATAAAAATGAAAGGGAACCAGATTTAAAATAGGGCGGATTCAAGTGACACGACATAAAACCTGGGTCATTGCTCCTTTATTTTATTAACCAATAAAAGTAATTTGTGCATCTTTGTAAAGTAATTTATAACAATTACCCTGTACTTTATAAGATAACAATTTGAACTTTTAATAGTTTCCGTAAACACGATAGTGTAGAGGCATTGAATTTGCACAATTAAAGTTTCTATAGTTGGTTTATTGTGTACTTGAGTATACAGGATTTTTAATAAAACTTGTATTACATGTATCCCCAAAGATATGCTTGTATTTATGTGATATAACCATTGCAGCTGTATGGTACATAAATAAATGTACAAAGAACACATGACCATGTTTGATATCAAATAACAATTGAGTCAATGCTGTCACTGTACTCATCACAAAATAAACACAATTCTTGTTTACTACATAAATTTATTTTCTTCCTTTCTATATTACAAATACATGCATAGTATATAAATATAAATCTCATGGCAATCCAATTATAGTTACCGGTACATTTTTTTCAATCTTTGGTTACACTGGCAACTGACATAATTTACACATTTACAAATTTCTTATTTACATAATTAACATTTACACATAAAAAAATTAAATATTCCATGTGACCTATCATTTTATGACTTAGCCTTTTTTAATTCACATCAACACATGCAAAATTCCTCACAATTTGCCAAAACATAACAGCATCCTTAAAATTATTTAATAAAAAAACTTAAATAACAAGGAGCCTACAATATATTCAGGTTTGAACCTCTACCACCTATTTTTGAGTAAGCACTTCTATATAAATTGCAACAGAACAATGAATTCATTATAGCATTCAACGAAGAAGAACTCTGCGTTCTGTACAACCCTGACGATACTTCCTCTATACAGGGTTCACCAATAAAAGTCTGCAAATCACTCTTGGGAAAACCTTCGCTATAGTACTGTTTTATCGTATCATATGCGTCCATTATTACAGATATAAACAGACTCAGAACAACATAAATATAAAGACTTATAAAAGAGTATAAGTACACACGACTGAACCACCAGAGCATCGGTGATTTCTTTGACATGATCGAAAACGTAGCAAACATATCATCTCCATTAATAAGAGAAAATAAACACTCTGAAGTTGTAGCTAGAGATCTAAATTTCATATGATACGGACCAAGTATAAGCCAGCCACAGAACATAAATCCAGCATAAAGTAGTAAAGCACAGAAGGAAAATCTAAATATCTTTGGTGCTGCCTTTTTCAATGTTAGTATAACAACATTGTACGTCTTGAAGAAGCCTAGATATCTTAGAACCCCAAACCAGACTAATAAATTACCTAAACCCAAGAATAAAGAACACACATTCCATTGATCATTTGTAAATTGGTTCCTTTCGATTTGTTCTTTTATTGCTGATCCCATGATAATGAGTAAATCATTAACAATGATCATTATGTACCATATATTGAGGAATTCTAGTCGACCATCCCAGCTAAGTTCTTTATTATATGCTCTTCGGAAAAATTGCACAGTCAGTTCTTTTAGGAGCTGTGCTCGATATATAGCTCGACTACATAACATGAGGGATGCAGAACATATTAATATTACCAGTATGTTAAGAATACTACGTAAAATTTGATCGATTTTATTATCTGTGATATAGTTTTTATCTCCATTGCAGACTAGCTTATATGGCTCTGCTTCTAGAACCAGAGACATCTGTCCATCATGATCTTCATTATCAAATATAATTTCTATGTCAAATCTGACACACTCTGGTGGTGTGATTGGACCGGCCGCTCTGAAGTTTATAGTTTTTAGAGAAAACATTAACTTAGCCCTAACTAATGCTGCAAAATTAATCTCCATGCCTGCATCTTTGATGTATTGTTTGGATTTAAGTAATTGGCCATTAGGTATTGTAAAATTTACACAAGTTTCATTGACTTCCGAGTTGAATTCATAACTCTCATTGAACCCATGTATAATACCTTGCTTATAGTTGTATTGGCAGAAAACTGGGTCAGGCATATTGTTGTTGTCATCGTTGTATGAATATGGGCCAATAGCATTAGACAGATTAGCGTATCCTGCATATGCATAATCCAATGTGTTGTAAAATTCATCAATTTTATAAACAGCTAAGGGTCCAGCTCCAGGTGGGTAGGCGTTTATCTCTCTTGTAGAGTCCCATCCGAGTAGAAAAAGATGTGAGAAAGTAATCCGATTGTCCCAAGTATAATTAACGTGATTGTATCTGTTATGTGCGAAGAGACACAATTGGAAAGTTACCAAAATTATCTTAATCACCTGTACGACGAATTTGTATGGAAATTTTCGCTTTGCTTGCCATTTCTCAATTGGATTCATAAAGAAAAACTGCAGTTTACGTCGCATTTTTTCCTCCATTTGGTTTAGATTGGAGGAAGTTGTAGGAAATGAGGAATATCCTTGAACATTTCTGCGATTACCTTGATCTGTCCCCGGTGTGATAGTTTCATTTTCTTCCTCTGTACCTGTGTTTTCATCTGGAGATGAGTTCATTCTCTCCATTATTAATAATTCTAAGTAAATTTCGATTAAAAAAATCAGACAATTAGTTTAACAACAAACTCTGATATCGTTGGGAATAAATTATTCCAGGTAACTTATTGCCTAACTTAAGTTCTGTCCTCTCGTTGAAAAATATTTAGAAACCATACGCACAAATAAAAAGAACTAAGTCCTATTTGTAAAATGTTCACTACACAAAGGAATTCAAGCACAGAAGAAAACAAGGTATTGAATAATGTTAAAGTTGAAATGAAAATAATGTCATGACATGTGGAATTTTGTTTTATAGCAATATTTGTTTACAAATTACAATTATTTATCTGTGTAAAGGTTGTCTTTGGTTTGAAAATTCATCAGTGATGCCAGACCTTCCTACTTAAATCTACTGAAAATTAAGATTATTTGCAGTTATTTTCTCCAAAATTTATTTTAATCCATTGTACTAGGTCAAATTCGATTCTTCGAAAAAAAGTAAACTACGCGTCATTTTAATTTATTATTAAGTTTATTGTAGAGTATTGTTGAGTAAGAATAATCATAATGGTTTTACCATTTTCATTATTAATAACTACCGAAGACGTGTTATTTTATTATCTGTTATTATTATCAGGGAAATGTCAAATTGATAATTTTCGTCTGTGGTCCGTAATCTATGACAAGTACTGTCCATGTTTGTCGTATATTATCAGGAACTTCAAGAATTTTCTTCGAAAGAATTTGTAATTTCTTCATAAATTTAATTCTACGCGTTTAATGAACTTCGTCTTATTCTCGTAAAAACTGGTCCGTGTCGATAAAATAGAAAATGACGTTAACAGTCGACAAGTTATTCAATAAACAAAGGTCAGTGTTAGTTTACATTTTGGGGAAAGTAAGATGAACTTCCAACACCAATGCAAGATTGCGTTGTTTTCTTTCGAAGTTTACTACCGTATGTTTGTCCTTTCAGGTTTACGGGTGATAATTTACTCCAGTTTCTCTTCTATTTACCTTTGGGACTACTTTTGATGAGTTTAAGAATTATTTTGGGATTGATATTATGGATAGCTGCAATTATCCTCCCTGATAAATCTGGTGTACGGCAGATGTTGTCCACACTCGCTTGCTGGACGTTTGGTAAGTTATAAATAAATTGAATAACATTCCTACAATAATTTGCAACATTTTACAAAATTTTACAACTTACATTCAGAAATTTCGAAATAAAATTATTCTAAAAATGAGTATTCTTATTACACACTATACTCATATCAGTGTAGTGTGTAATAATTAATAAAGAGTTTAAAAATTAATTTAATGTAATGAAGGAAATTACCATGAAACTTACATATTTAGGTGACTTCCTTCAAAAATTTTAAATTTCAATGAATGTCATGAGAATTTAAGACCATAACATTTTTGTTTGAATTTTTTCAGGTGTGTATGTAAAATTGAAAGGCAACAGGGATCCGCGCTGCAGCGTGATGGTGGCCAATTATGTGTCATGTTTGGATTCTCTTGCGGCTTCACATGTTCTTGGAACTATTAGTGTAAGTTATAAAAATACAGGATTTCACCTGTGACTCTGTCAGTGTGAAATTTAAAAAAAAAGAAATAAGTAGCCAATGTGTCCATACAGACTATCCTCTACATCTATGCCTAATTTCATCAAGATCGTTTCAGCAGCTTACGCTAAGAACTCTAACACCCGTCCATCTAAACTTTTGCAATCATAATATTACTAAGGTTAAGGTTAGTTACATTATTTAATAATGTTGTATTTCAATAGAACAACAGTTTTATTCAATTTTATTTCCCAGAGTTAACAATAAAAGTTTTTGTAAAAATGAAGTCATACAATCAAGTACAATTTTTATGCAAATTTCAATTGTGTATAAATGTTGATTTTAGCTAAGAAAATGGAAAGTACCACCATTTTTTGCCTCAACTCTTGGTATAAGAAATGCATCGCAATTTATAAGAAAGTAAGTATATGAAACTATGAACATAGAATTCACTGTCTTGAATAATTATTTCATCATCATCACCAGCTCACTATACGTCCCCACCGAGGGGCTCAGAGCCTACCCTAATACAGGGTGACTAGGCCATAGTCAACCATGCTGGCCAAGTGCGGGTTGGTTGACTTCACACATATCTTTGAATTTCTTCGCCGATAGGTGCAGGTTGCATCACGATGTTTTCCTTCACCGTAAGAACGTCAGGTAAATTATGTACATATGAAAATTCAAAAAATCAAAAATCACATTGGTACATGGCAGGATTCGAACCCAACACCTGTAGATTACAAGTCAAGTGTTCAAACCACTGAGCCACCGACGCTAAACAATGAATAATTATTTACATTTTATAATTATTTGACACAACAGACTGTCATTAAATTCTACAGATAGAGTAACACTAGCATTTAAAAGGAAGAAACCTTGGTATTTACAAGTTTTCCTGTCCAACTAGGATCAATATTAGTTATTACCCCAAAAACAAATGTGGAATTGACAATTACGTCTCTCTTTCTATCTTAAATGTTCTTTGTATTGTCTCGCTTTCTCATTAAAAATAGGATTCTCCGTTTCATGAGATTTAATATCATATTATAATAATTACTGATTTTAGATGATTAGTTTTAAATTTTTTAACAAATGCAATTTTTGTTATTTAATTTAATACAGAAAAAAAGTATCCAAAATATAGTTTGAACGATTTGTTCCAAAATTTTTGATATTGCTTATCTTAGGATGTAGTTTCGGTTTTTATAGTTTTTTTTTAATTATATGATAAAAGTGCACCAATTGCAGACAACACTTTGCTGACAGTCCGAGCAAGCCCATCTTGCTGCAGCCGGAAGGAGGGCCCACTAATGGCAGGGCTTTGCTCAAGTTCACCGACTGGCCTTTCCCTATTGGCAACAGGGTGCAACCAGTAGCTATAAGTAAGTTTATAATGGCCTTTTTATTACTGTAGCCGTCGTTTTATCTAATTTTTTGTTCATTTAAACTTTGTAAACAAAAGAAAACCATCTGTACTAATATTATAAAGAGGTAAGATTTTTAGTTTAGTATATGTTTATACAATAACTTAAAAACCACTGGACTGATTTAAAATAATTTTTCAACATTAAAAAGCTATCTTATTAGTGAGTAACATAGGCCATGTTTTTTATTATTTCACTCTGGCCAAGTTGCAAGCAACAGCTAGTTATTGCTTGGGTTCAAATCCCGCTATATACTAATGTGATTTTCGATATTTCTAATTTTCATATGTACATATTTTACCCGACATTCTTACGGTGAAGGAATACATTGTTATGAAATTCAAAGGTATGTGTGAAGTCAACAAACTCGCAGTACAGCGTGGTTGAGTATGGCCTAGTCACCCAAACTTACGGCAGGCTCCGAGCCCCTCGGTGGGGACGTAAAGTGGGCTGGTAATGATGACGATGTGTAATGAAGGTGTGGA